ATTACAGATTCAAAAGACATACTATTTTTGCGTTAATGAAGTTACCAAAGGGAGGGCGAAGCTCTCCACCGTGTGGAGTGGCGGAGCAGTGTGAGGCAGCACAGACTTCTGGAAAGTAGTTCGGAAAAATATAACGTCTTCAAAAATATTAATATCTTTGACCAAGGAGTATTTTCGAGAGTATAGAAGAAATTTGACCCAAAATTTGTCGGGAAAGATGTTTCATTGTATTGCCTCTAATGAAAGGATTTATCTGAGTTTTTTGCTATGTACCCAAATCAATGACATGGCTGTATTTGTACTTTTTAAATACTGCGTACTGATGAAAAGTAATTTGACATTCCCTTTCCACTTCGTATATTGAAATTTTAAAAGTGCATCCCATAAACATTAAAGATTTCTTACTTATTCCCTACATATGATATTACCAGTGGCTTGATACGCATTTTCACATTTTTTAGCACTTCTTTATTTTAAACAATTAAAGTTTCAATTAAAAGTATAAACTGTTGCTGTCTCCAGCATCTCTTCCTAGAGATACATAAATTGGAAAGTTTTGAATACTTAAGTTTTCTTGAGTACTAGAAAGGATCTAAGTTTTGAAATCTTTAGAGCACAGTATAATACTTGAAATTATAATGTGTGTGTGTGTTCACTTTGAGTTGCTTTAATGCGTAGATGATGAGCTAAGGGCATTTTTGAGCAAAACCTCCTCATTAAAATTTAAAATTTTCTTAGTACACGAATCCCAGTTACATATCTAAGTCTGGGTGTAGCGATAGCCAAAAATAGGGCAAAAACGTATGGCTCTAACCCAGTTTCTGCTCGGTCTCAGTCATGTTCATTTATGGGCTATAAATCTTTGGCACTTGCCTTTTGTATGCGTTACATTCTTTGCTTTTTTAAAGCTTTTTGAAGCTTTCTTAATGCAGGCAGCCTCACCACTTGTGTTATCTGACAGGTCGCATTTCCTGGGGCTGGAAAGCTCCCCCAGATCATCGGAGGGTCGGATCTCATAGCTCACCATGCTCGGAAGAACACGGAATTGGAAGAGTGGCTAAGGCAGGAGCTGGAGGTCAGTGGGCGTGAGGCCTGGGAACTCTTTTGATTTTGGTCCCTTATGGTTTCCTTAGAGTAAATTCTTTTTAAAACCACACTTAAGTGACCTGAGATCATTCATTCAGGAAAATTCCTGAGTTACAGAGCGTTAAGATTGATTTGCACCTTCCTATAATACTTCTTTGAGGGACTAAAACAAATGAGTTAAGTTTACATCCTAATGTAAAAGGGATAAAAGACACTTACCCTCCAAAATTTAAAAGAAAACTAAAAGATAGCAATTAAAAGGATGGTCATACAGTCATGTGGAAGGCGTTACAAATATATCAGTTAATATAGTGGAAAGGACTGGGTTTTCTAAATCTGAGAATTGTCTTTCAACGGTTCTGAGACTTTCTCTTTTCTTGAATATTACCATTTTCCTGTTTTCTCTAATATCTTTTTTTTTAATTTAAAAATTACTGTTTTCTGTAGCAGCTACTCCATTTTACATAACCATCAACAGTGCAAAAGAGTTTCAGTTTCTCCATGTCCTCTCAAACGCTTGTTTTCTGTTTTTTTGATGGTAGACATCTAATGGGTGTGAGATAGTATCTCATCTGATTTGCATTTCCCTAGCGATTGATGATGTTGAGCATCTTCTCATATGCTCGTTGGCCATTCATGTGTCTTCTTTGGAGAAACGTCTATTCAAGTCCTTTGCCCAGTTTTAATCAGAGTGTTGAATCGTAAGAGTTCTGTATATAGTCTGGGTATTAACTCTTTATCCCATATATGACTTACAGATATGTTCTCCCATTGTCTGGGTTGCCCTTTCACTGTGTTGATTGTATATTTCGGGGTACAGATGTTTTAAATTTTCATATAATTCAATTTATCTGTTTTTTTTTTTCTTTTGTTGCCTGTGTTTTGGTGTTATGTGATCCAAGAAGTCCTTGCCAAATCTAATGTTGGAAAGCTTTTCCCCTATGTTTTCTTCTAAGAGTCTTATAGTTTTGGCTCTTACGTTAGATACTTGATCCACTTTGAGTTAGTTTTTATATGTGGTTTTCGGGTAGGTCCAGTGTCATTCTCCGCGGTCACACTTTTGCACTTTGATCTAATGACCTGCGATCGTTGCGATCGTTGCCATCGTGAAGGCGTGGGGGGGAGGTAGAGTCAGCCACGCTGTCGGCAGCTGCTCCTGGCGGCTCCTCCAATGGGCAGTTGTTGCTGATCTGTCTCATTTTTCCCCAAAGAGGCTTTCTGAGTTTTAAGAAGGCAAACGAAATTGTTAGATAGTATTAATCATTGAGTAGTAATTTTTGTACTATTTAGTTTAGGTTCTTAAACTTTTTATTACGAAAAGTTTTCAAATACACAGCAAGTTAAAACAAACCCCCAAGACCACAGCTTCAGCCGAATATCAGCACGTGGCACATCTCGCTTCGTCTGTTCCGTTTCCCAGCTTTTTTCCTCTCTGGAGAGTTTAAAGGCAAACGCCAGTCATCTCATTCACATTTCTACACTTCATGCAAACGCGCAGATTTCTGATCAAATATGTGTGACGTCACAGCGTTGCAGTAGGGTGCTCGTATGATCGATTCGAGTACAGACGCCGTTTTGAAACTTTTCCGTTTTCCCTTTTCAAAGGCCTTTATGCTCACCGGGTTCTCTACATTTAAGCTGCAGCTGCCCGTCATCGCCGCCCGTCGCCCTCCACACTGATTTCTCCTGCATTCACCGTGATTTTCTTAAGCTCTTTCACTGTGTCGGAAATCCAGATTCCGGTTGTGTCTGTTCTGTTCCTCACCAGCTGCGTGACCTTGGGCAGGTAACTTCTTGAGCCTTCGTTTGGCTGCGCAGAATGGGAACAGAATCACACGTCTGTTCCACAGATGTCTTGAGAAGATTAAATGAGATACTACTTACAAAGCTTTCGCGTCCGTGGAGACAGCGTTAGCTTTTTCTGATTTCTTTAATTCTTAAGTGGTGTTGTCATAGTTCTCGGTTTGTTTCCTTTTCGTTGTGGCTTTTATGTAACTTGTTTCACTGCTCTCATGTTCTTACTCATTCGCTTGCTCTTCGTTCTTGGGTTATTGTTTCTTCTAGACTAGGTTCTTGCTCATTTTGTCCTATTCCCTCTTTTCCCCTCTGGTATGTGGAGTGGTATTGCTGTTTCCTTTGGTCTTGTAGCTGTCGAAAATGAAAATATTCCCTTTGCTGTGTGAAGCGTTGTGTGCCATCTTATGCACGGGCTACATTCTAAAGCCAGTCGGTGAGGCAAAAAATTGAATGTAGTCGAAATGACTCCTGTCCCTCAGCTCGTGAAGAACAGAATGACCTGGTGCCTCCACACGCCAGTGTGGCCACGTGCTCCCTCGGGCCGTCGCGAGTCTCGTCGAGTTGCTGCTGCCTGAAGACCCCGAGTGGAGTCGAGCGCAGGAAGGGCTCAGCGGGAGCTGCGTGCTGTCTCCTGGGATGGGGACGAAGCGCGCGTCCCAGCAGGGAATAGCCTGGCATTTTAGGGCGTTTGTGATGTGTAGGGGATGTGGGTCGCGGTCAGGCCCTCGACTCGCCTGCCCCGCAGGAGTCTGCCCCGCAGCGGGGCGTAAGAAGCCTGGGGGGTCAGCTCTGCAGCGCCTCCCCCAGGCAGGCAGCGTCAGGAGTCCTCGGCATCGCCTCCGCACGGCCGCTCTTCGAAGTCTGCGGCGGGCGGGGAGTTCTGCTCCTGATCGATTGCGGCCGTCGGGGCTGCTTTGTTCTTGGATGGGCAGAAGTCCAGGGAGTGACAGTGCAGCTGCTGACTTTTGCGTTTATTTTGTCGGGATAGGGGAGGGAGCCTGCGTTCCCGTTCATTCCGCCGAGGCGGTCCTGCGCGCTGGGGCCGCCCC